TGTAGCCCCAGCTGTCCTGGAACTCACTATGTAGACCAAGCTGGCCTTGAACTCACAGAGATCCACCTGCCTCTGCCTCCAGAGTGCTGGGATTAAAGGTGTGTGCCACCGCCTAGCTTTGCCACCTATTTTTTGAAGCTCTCTGATTGACCAGGTTGACTGGTCCTCAAGCTCCAGATATCGATATCCACCTATCTCTGCCTCCCCAAATGCTGGGATCATAAACGATTGCCTAGCTTTTACATGGGTGCTGAGGATCAGAACTCAGGTCTTCATGCTTGCATGGCAAGCACTTCACCTACTAAGCCATTTCCAAAGCCTTTGTGACTCAGTTTTCTTGCTTGTCAAATGATGGTGAGGTTATTCATACCTGCCTCTTTGGCTGGGATGTGTAAGGAGCCCATGAGCTACTAGCTGAAAACCACCAAATCCTGCCTAGATGTGGAGGGGAGGCAAAATAGAGAAAGTCAGAAACCATTCAGTTGTCACAGACAGCTGAACAGGAAAACTTGTGAGGAGGGACATGGGGAACAGGCACATCCTTGAATAGAAAGCCCAAAATTTATTTATTTATTTATTTATTTATTTATTTATTTAGAAACAAGGTCTCATGTATCCCAGATTGGACTCAAACTATTTAGCTGAGGACGACCTTGAACTTCTGATCTTCCTGCCTCCACTTCCCAAGTGCTAGGATTACAGGCCTATACCACCACATCTGGTTGCTTTAAATCTGAACTGTATCCTGAGCCTGAGAGCCCAGAATTGAGTGTAGTTCTGTGTGTTGGTGTTGGTGTACAGGAGTGCAAGGTCCCGGTGTGGGTGTCGGGAGGAGTTATACCCAACTCCCTGTCCTCTGAAGCTGCTCTCCCTTGACTCAGCCTGTTCTCTGGTGGAATGTCCAGTCAGAGCTCCCCTTTGGTGTCCTCATTCTGGGAATCCAAGCTGCATTCACTTCAGGATGTCCCAAGGAGGGGGACAATGCCCTCTAGTGGGCAAGAGACACATAGGCGGCTAGAGTCAACCGTAGCTCCTCCGGTAAACCAAGGCGGGAAATTCCTTCTGAAACCGATAGGAGATTCAGCACAGGAGGCCTCTGCTCCTGGAGCAGCAGACAGAAAAGGAACCTAGGGATTCGTATGGAAGAATCCAACAGACCACAGCTGAAGGTGACTGATCTATCTCATTTCAAGTCACCTTTGTGAGCGGTTTTGCTTGTTTCCAGGGTTTTTTTGGACTTTTTGTTTTGGTTTGGTTTGGTTTTTTGGTTTTTTGAAACAGTTTCTCCCTATAGATCCAGCTGGCCTGGAACTCACTATGTAGGTCAGACTGGCCTTGATTGTTCAGAGCTCTGCCTGTCTTTGCCTCCCAAGTGCTGGGATTAAAGGTATGTGCCACCATGTCTAGCAGATTTTTGTTTTTGTTTTTGTTTTTGTTTTTTTGTCTTTTTGAGACAGGGTCTCCCTGTAGGCCCAGCTGTCCTGGAACTCACTATGTAGACCAGGATGGCCTTGAACTCACAAAGATCTGCCTGCCTCTGCCTCTGAGTGCTGGGATTAAAGGCATGTGCCACCATGCCTGGCAAGATTTGGTTTTTTACATTTATTCCTTTTTTCTTTTTTCTTCTTTTTTTTTTGGTCTTTTTGAAGCAGGGTTTCCTATAAGCCCCAGCTGTTCTGGAACTCATTATGTAGACCAGGCTGGCCTTGAACTCACAGAGATCTGCCTGCCTCTGCCTCCCAAGTGCTGGGACTACAGGCGTGCGCCACCACACCTGGGTATCCTTTTTTTCTTAATTTTAGATTTTATGTGTATGTTCATGTCTGTGTATATGCTATGTGTGTGTGTGGATGCCCACAAAGGCTAGAAAAAAGTGTTGAATCCCCTGAAGCTAGAGTTACAGGCAGTTGTAAGCCACCTGACATGAGTGCTGGGAACCGAACTTGGGTCCTGGGGACCGAACTTGGGTCCTCTAGAAGAGCAGCAAGTGTTCTTAACCTCTGAGCTATCTCTCAAGCCCCAAGTGATTGATTGATAACTGACTGACTTTAGTGTGCGTGCATGCGTGCGTGAGTGCGTGTGTGCGTACGTGTGCGTACGTGTGTGTGTGTGTGTGTGTGTGTGTGTGTGTGTGTAGAGCAGAAGACAACTTGTGGAAGTTGGTTCTTTCCTTCTACCATGTAGGTTCCAGGGATCAGGTGCCTTTACCCACAGATCCATCTCCCCAGCCTCCCTTTGTGCTTTTAGTCTCTCTTACCTCCTGTTCCTTGATGTAGCCTCCAAGTCTTGATCTCTTCCTCCTCTCATCACAGGCCCTGCCGTCAAGGAGCTACTGATTGCCATTCATACCTGAAGGGTCTTAAGCACACTGGACCTTTCAGTGTATTCCCAGGGAAGGCATTATGCCCTGTGGAGTCAGGGAAGGCTTCCTGGAGTAGGGAACAGATGAACAGGGTATTGGAAAAAAAGTTGGAAGCTGGTCTTTGGTCTATAATTCCAGCTTCTTGGGATGTGAGACAGAAAGATGGCTTGAGCCTAAGGATTCAGAGCCAACCTGAGCAACATAATGAAACCCTGTCTCTTTTGAAAGATCAGAGAGGGGATGGAGAGCTGGCTCAGCCATAAAGAGCACTTGCTGTTCTTGCAGAGGACCCAGGTTCGATTCCTAACACCCACATGACAGCTCACAACCATTTGTAACTCCAGTTCCAGGGATCCAATGCCCTCTGCTGGCCTCTTCAGGCACTGCATGCATATGCTGCATTTGCATACATACAAGCAAAACATTCATATGCACAAAATATTAATTAAAAAAATAAAAAGGGCTAGAGAGATACCTCAATGGTTAAGAGCACTGACTGCTCTTGCAGAGGATCCAGGTTCGATTCCCAGCACCCACATGGTGGCTAACAACCATCCAAAACTCCAGTTCCAGGGGATCTGACGCCCTCTCTGACCTCCTCAGGCACTGCATGACACGGTGCACCTACCTACATGCAGACAATACACTCATACACATAAAATAAAAATAGTAAATAAGAGCTGGGCGTGGTGATGCACACCTTTAATCCCAGCACTTGAGAGGTAGAGGCAGGCAGATCTCTGTGAGTTTGAGGCCAGCCTGGTCTACAGAGCGAGTTCCAGGCAGCTGGAGCTATAGGGAAACCCTGTCTCAAAAAGACCTAAAAAAAAGCAAATAAAATATTTTTTAAAGTAAAATAAAAAAGATTAGAGAGCCAGCAAGATGACTCAGCAGGTAAAGGTACATGTCTAATGACCTGAGTTTAATCCCCAGAGCCCACTGTGGAAAGAGACAACCAAGTTGTCTCTTCACACTGCACACACACACACACACACACACACACACACACACACACCATACACACACAATAATAATACGTAAAATTAAAAATATAAGAAAAATGAGTAAGAGCTGATCAGATTAAAGTCCAGGAAAGCACTGGAGCTGTGGTGGCACTGAGTGGCTGGATGCTGGGCTGGGGCAGTGTTGGAAGAGAGGGTGCAGAGGAAATGGCTTTCAGACCCTCCATCTCAAAGAACAAACTTTACCAGGAGGCACTAAGGAGCGGGAGAAGGCCTTTAAGCCGGAGAAATGGCAGAATCACATAATATAACTGAAGGCAGGAGAAGCTGCAGAGATACAGGGAGGCTTGAGAGGCCAGCTGTGAGGTTGTTGTTCAGGCAAAAGAATCTGAGGCATGTCTGAGGTCAGTGTGAGGCTGGAGAGGGGTCAGATCTCAAGTCTTCTTCTGGGGCTTCTGCATCCCTAACAGTAAAGCTACAGTCAAAGGTTGCACAGCAGCCAATTCTTCTAGAACCTAGCACCCTGTCTATCATCCCAACACATCCCAGGGTCACTCCTGCAAATGGGGATAGGAGGTTGGTGGGGGGGCTGTTTAGGCTTTAGGATGGTTAAAGAATGGGAAAGCCCAGGTAGACTGGGTCAGCCCCACACCATTCCTAGAACTGCCGAGAAAGAGTTAATCTGGTATATCTCCTTCCATCTGTCCCTCCCTTCCTCCCTTCTCTGCCCTAGGTCACCTTCTCTGTCCTAGAGGCTTGGTTGGTGGCTCAAGTTCCTTAACCAGTGGCCCTGGGTAATCAGAGCACACAGGGGCCAGGGGCCTGGGGGCAAGGAATGGAATATTGGTACCAGGGGGAGGCTCAGGCACTCAGGGATAGAGGGGTCTTCCAAGCATAGGGTTTGTGGGGAGCTCTCAGGGTGGTTCCCAACACTTTTTACCTGCCCCAGGACCCTCTGTCTCTGCACTGATCACAATTTCTTCCACCCACTGGAGGACAACTTCTCAAACTCCTCATCTTAATTGCTCAGGACAGGGCAAGCTGAGGAGGGGAAAATCATGTTCTGTCAGCAAGCTTTTCAGCTTCAAGAGCTAGGGTCCCTCCTCCAGTGCTGGGAATTGGTCATAAATGAGTCTGTGGTCAGTGAGAAATCTCTGCTTAATGGAACCTGGGCTGCCCTGCAAGCCACAAAAAGGGGTTTGGGGAGGGAACAGGACCTAAGTGTAGTGAGGTTGGGGAAAGGATGCAGACCTGAAATAGAGCTGTAAGTCCAGGGAGGAAGGGGGTTGGAGACTACCTGGTGAGGACTTGGGGATCAAGAGAGTGGCTGAAGGGAAACTGGGGGCTCAGGGAATAACTGAAAGTAAATTAGGGTCAGTGACTGGAAAGTAGCCAAGTATCAAAGGAATGAGAGGGAACAGAGGCCTAAGGGTAGACTGGGAGATGTGGGGCTAATGAAATGGAGTGATTATGAGTGGAGAGGAATTCAAGGTCTGAGAGAGTGCCTACAGAGGGCTGGAGACTTGGCTATCCCGGAGGACAATCTGGACCAAGTGAGACTAAAGGAAAAGTCAGAAATGGGATAGGGAAACCGAGGAACAGACTGAAGGATGTGAATATGCACGTGTGTCCTCGGGGAGGGCAGGGACTATTGCCAGCTGAGGTCATCCTGGCAGTGGGAGCAAAGGGCTACACTGGACCTCATTTCATCTGGGGAGGGGGTACCATGAGCCCCAACTCCAGACTTTCTCATGGTTTCCACTCTGCCTGACACCTTTGCATCCTGCTGGAGCCAAAGTCAGAAAAAGAGCCCCAGCTCCCCTCCTCTCCACCAGCCTCCCTCTCCCACAGCCATCAATTATTCATCAGCACAGACACCGCCCTCCCTAGCTGAGTGGTCTGGTCCTCCTCTCTATGCCCCGCCCCAGCTCAGCCACACTGCCAGCTCCGGTGAGGAAGGACAAGCAGCTGGGCAGTGGAGGCCCGGCGGAAAGGCTGGGTGGCTGGCCCTGCTGGACCCCAGTTGAGGTTCTAGCACCTTCCCCTTTGGCACTTGCCTCCTGTCTCTTGCCCCCGGAGAAGATGCCCATCCAGATCTTCTGTTCCATGTCATTCTCCTCTGGAGAGGAGGCCCCAGGACCCTTGGGAGATGTTTGGGGTCCGCACCACCAGCAGCAGCGGTACGGCTCAGAATCAGATGAGGAGGATGAAGAGAAGGGAAAGGAGGCACTGAGGAAAGAGACCAATGAGGGGAACTCACCTAGGGACTTGGTGACCTTTGCCAACAGCTGTACCCTCCACGGTGCCAGCCATGTCTTTGTGGAAGGGGGTCCAGGGCCAAGGCAGGCCCTATGGGCAGTGGCCTTTGTCATAGCACTGGGTGTCTTCCTGTGCCAGGTAGGGGACCGCATTGCTTATTACCTCAGCTACCCGCATGTGACTTTGCTAGATGAGGTGGCCACCACGGAGCTGGTCTTCCCAGCAGTCACCCTCTGCAACACCAATGCCGTTCGGCTGTCCCAGCTCAGCTACCCTGACTTGCTCTACCTGGCCCCCATGCTAGGGCTGGATGAAAGTGACGATCCTGGAGTGCCTCTTGCTCCACCTGGACCAGAGGCTTTCTCTGGGGAGCCCTTTAATCTGCACCGTTTCTACAATCGCTCCTGCCACCGGCTGGAGGACATGCTGCTCTATTGTTCCTTCTGTGGGGGGCCCTGTGGCCCTCACAACTTCTCAGTGGTGAGTGGGTCCATGCCTAGCACAGCATCCCAAGAGTATCTGCCATGGGTCTCTGACCATTGGCTCCTGGGATTGGGACTGGTAGCTGTGCTGAACCCTGACCTGACCCAGAGGCCCCCTGGGGAGCCCAGAGTCTGGAGCTAAGATTCCCAGATCCATACCAGCACTGCTCTTCCTAGTTGCACCTTGAAATATGTCATTCCTCATCAGTAATTAGCTATTCTTTTGATGCTGGTGTCTCTGAATATCTTCTATCCTCTCCTGCCCTTCCCTAGACCTCTTAGTGGTCAGCGAGGCCAGGGACCCTTGCTCTAGCTATGAAGTCAACTATTGATCTGTTGGGGGAGGAATACCTATGCTCAGCCAGTTGTTATTATCATCCCTGGAGTGATGGTGGTGTGGAAGATGCCACCTTATCTCCAGGGGTGCTGAAGGAGGTCATAGAGAGGTAGGGCAGCCCCACCTCAACTCCAACTCATTGTTCTCATTGTTTGTCAGCAGACCCAGAGCAAGGGGCTTCATTGCATCCTTATTCTGTGCTCTTTCCTATGGGAGTCCACCTGCCTCTCTCTCTCTCCTCTCTCTTCTCTCTCTCTCTCTCTCTCTCTCTCTCTCGTGTGTGTGTGTGTGTGTGTGTGTGTGTGTGTGTGTGTGTTCCATCTGTTTGTCTGTGAATTCAGGAATTCTCTAAATCCAACCCCAGACCCCTCTTCCCAGCACTTGGTGGCAGGGACCTTCTTCCTACAGGAATAGAACATCATGTTCCACTTGGTCTTCCACCCAGAGGTGAAGGGACTTCCTAGGTGAGAAGCCCATCATCCTCCCAGTTCACCTTGCAGTTCTGTCTAGCCGAACTCCCCTCAGGCCCCTGCAGACTTCAGATGCCTGGCTTTTCCTCCACACACCCCCACCCCTCATGCCCTACCATGTAGGAGTACATGGGTATCATTTCAGTCCTGGACTATGAACATACAGTGACCTAGTGGTTTTGGCCACTGGGCCTCAGAGAGGGCAGGAGACAGGACCATCTGACAAGGAAAGGATTTCTTCTGAGGCCCCCAGAGCTCTACAAAAGCACTGCCAACATGCCATGTCTTGATACTTAGTCCTGAGTAATGAGAGAAGAGGTGATGTGCCTGGGTGAGCTTGATCCTTGGCCTGGCAACTGGGGCTGCTTTCAGGTTCCAGTGATAATAGAACAATGATGATGTGATGGCTGATAACAAGAAGAAATCAAGGCTTAGCTTTGAAGGGCTTAGGTATGGATGCAGGTCTTGGGGAAATCAGGATTTCTAGTGTCAGGGGGAAAATCACAAAGAGATCTATTCCAGAAGGCCTCAGAGGTCTGGCTGGGATAGGAGCATGGTGACAGAGGTGCACAGGTTAGGGTCTTGGTAAGAAAAAGATTGCCATTCAATAGTTCAGTTGAAAAGACTTTAACAAAGGACTGTTTGCAGAGCTGTGGGCAAGATTAAGAATACCAATAAAGGAGGCCTAGACAGCTAGTAATAGCGGAAAATTGTTAGCATTTCTAGGCTGAAGATGGGCAAAGGGAGTCCTCCTGACAGGATGCACAGTCATGGACTGTCTAAGTCACTGCCACTGTTACAGGCTTTGGCATAGCCCTAGGCTTCCAGACTTTTGTGTCCTACCAGAAGCAGTTGGTGAGAGGGCTACAGAAGGCTACTCCTGGGGTGTGGTGTTGGGGAGTCAAGATAGAGTGGTGGGAGCTGAGGAGATGGCTCAGTGGGTAAAGTGTTTACTGTGTAGGCATGAGGATTTCAGTTCAAGTCCTTAGCACCATGTAAAAATCAGGGTGGTGCACACCTGTAACCCCAGTGCTAGATTGATGGATGCAGAGACAAGTGGATCCCAGGGACTTGCTGGCCAGCTAGACTAGCTAAAATGGAAGGTTCCTAATTCAGTGAGACTCTGCCAGAGAGAGAGAGAGAGAGAGAGAGAGAGAGAGAGAGAGAGAGAGATCTTTGTGCCTGCTGATGATCCCTTACTTGTGGTTCCTACCATCTGGATGACAAAGGAGCACAGACCCTGTACTCTGTACAAAGGTTGGCTTTGCAGGGCACTCAACAGGGCAAAGATGGGTGAAGAATAGGTGAGAGAGAACAGCAAATGGAGAAGGGGCTGCACAGGAGGAATTGTTCCTGAAGGGCACTGGGATCCCAGCAGCTGGGAGCGGGGGCACTGAGAACAGGCCATGGTGGGTAGGGGGTTCTGACTATCAGGAATCATGCTCTCTACCTCTACCAGGTCTTCACACGATATGGGAAGTGTTACACATTCAACTCAGGCCAAGATGGGCGGCCACGGCTGAAGACCATGAAGGGTGGGACTGGCAACGGACTAGAAATCATGCTGGACATCCAGCAGGATGAATACCTGCCTGTGTGGGGGGAGACTGGTATGTCACCCCACTTAGGAGCTTCCTCCCCATGGTTACAGGCCCAACCCTCATTCCCCTTTCTCCCAAGATCTCACCATGCCTGCCTTTGCCCTTATGTGACTTCCATACTCTCATTTCCCTGGCTCCCCCTTCCTGGTTCAGTTACTCTCCAAGGTAACCAGCCATCCTCTTCCATCAGTGGCCGACACTCACTCTATAAATAACTCCTTCTCTTCTTGGGCTGCCTGCCTGTCTGGTCTCAGGGGATCTAGGGGCATGGGGGGGATGGAGGGGAGAAAGGAGAAAGGGATGAGGAGAAATGGAGAGACAGTAATACTCAAGGAGAAAGAATCTGAAACACCAACATGCATAGCCAACACCAGGTAAGAAGCCTATAGGATGCAGAGGTCATTGGAGCAGCATGGGGATGGTAAACCCAGAAGGAGGCTGGAAGTGGGCTAGGAACCCATAGTCTAGAACCTCGTAGCCTCCCCACCAAGTTCCAGAGGAGCTCGAATGCCCCAGCCCTGAAGATGATGAGGGACTCAGAAACCCTCCCAACCCGTATACCTTTATTCCCATAGATGAGACATCTTTCGAAGCAGGCATCAAAGTGCAGATCCACAGTCAGGACGAACCTCCTTTCATTGACCAGCTGGGCTTTGGCGTAGCCCCAGGCTTCCAGACTTTTGTGTCCTGCCAGGAGCAGCGGGTGAGAAGGTTGCAGAAGGCTACTCCTGGGGTGTGGTGTTGGGGAGTCAAGATGGAGTGGTAGGAGCTGAGGAGATGGCTCAGTGGGTAAAGTGTTTACTGTACAGGCATGAGGATTTCAGTTCAAGTCCTTAGCACCATGTAAAAATCATGGTGGTGCAGGGCTGGAGAGATAGCTCAATGGTTAAGAACACTAGTTGTTCTTGCAAAAGACCTGGGTTCGAATCCTAGCACCTACATGGAAGCTAACAACTGTCCGTAACTCCAGTTCCAGGGGATCTGACAGCCTCTTCTGTCCTCTGCAGGCATTGCATGATATGGGTGCACTTACATACATGCAGGCAATACATGCATACATATAAAATAAAAAAAATAACAAATAAAATGTTATTTTAAATACAAAAAAAAAAAAACCAGGGTGGTGCACACCTGTAACCCCAGTGCTAGGTTGATGGATGCAGAGACAAGTGGATCCCAGGGACTTGCTGGCCAGCTAGAATAGCTAAAATGGCAAGCTCCAGGTTCAGTGAGACTCTGCCTCAGAGAGAGAGAGAGAGAGAGAGAGAGAGAGAGAGACCCAATTTGGCTTCTGGTCTATACACCAGCACACATACACCACACACACACACACACACACACACACACACACACACACAAAGACAGAGTGGTAGGTGATCAAGAATGGAAAAGATCCGTGAGCTGGAAGCTGGATGAGCATTGTGCTAATCAGCACCATCTAGGGAACAGGATACTCTGCCAACTCTAAGACCTTCAGAGGTGTAAGGGTTCTTCTGAGTTCTGCATCTTGTCAGAGAAGCCCATTAAGGTGAGTTGGGGAAAAGTCCCCGCACTCCCCCAGCTCCCCGGCTCTCCCAGCAGCTCATCTACCTGCCCTCACCCTGGGGCACCTGCAATGCTGTTACCATGGACTCGGATTTCTTCGACTCCTACAGCATCACCGCCTGCCGCATTGATTGTGAGACACGTTACCTGGTGGAAAACTGCAACTGTCGCATGGTGCACATGCCAGGTCAGGCCCCAAGACCCCAAGCACAGTCCTGGGGTCTCAGCCTACACTTCCTCTCACCAGCGCCCCATCACTATCAGCCTCCCCACCCTGGTCTCAGCTTACTCCATTCCTTATCTCTATGGCTTTTTTCTTGCAGTCCCTGACTATGTCTGTGGGATGGGTGGAAGGGTATAGAAAGGGTGGACCATCAGGGTAGGTCACTTCCAGGGTCCTGGGTGATGGCTGGTCCTACTGTCCCATCTTCCAGCTTTCCCTTTATACAGAACCATTGCCATCATAAGTCCCCTTTCATCTCTACTTCCCACTGTCGTCTCTGTAGGTGACGCCCCATACTGCACTCCAGAGCAGTACAAGGAGTGTGCAGACCCTGCCCTGGGTGAGTGCCCCTGATCTGCGACAGTTAGGAGAAGGGAAGAAACTTCTGTTCGCCCCTTGCACAAGGAATTCAGATCGAGTTCATAGGAGCTCCCAGAAATCCTGCAATAGGCTGCAACTCCACCTGCATCTGCTTCTAATTCTGAGAATTGCATTTTCAAAGGGCCCTATGAAGAATTAATGAGGGTCACCTGGGAGGGCCCTTCACTCTCTCTCAGCCTCAGTTGGTTGCTCCTCAAGGGCCCTGAGGGAATAACACACAGGGTTAGAAATATCTGTGGGGAGGCTGGGTGAAGATAACTAAGAGTGGATACGGGGCTAGGGGAAGAGAAAGGAGCCCAGGGATCCTTTGGGCAGGGCCAGAATGTCCATGTTGAGAAGGTGCTGGCAGAAGGACGCCATTCAACCAGCACCTCTCACATGGGCACAGACTTCCTGGTGGAGAAGGACCAGGAGTACTGCGTGTGTGAAATGCCCTGCAACTTGACCCGCTATGGCAAGGAGCTGTCCATGGTCAAGATCCCCAGCAAAGCCTCAGCCAAATACCTGGCCAAGAAGTTCAACAAGTCTGAGCAGTATATAGGGTAAGGGCTCTACTGTGCAGGGTTGGGCCCTTGTACAGGGGCTGTGGGGGGGGTATGAGTGGGAGTTAATGAGGGCTTAGCCAGCAAAAGGAAGTTGAGATAATTCGGGGAAGGTCCAAGAGGCAACCAAAGAGTGCAGGCCGTGTGTGGGGAGAGCTTTCTCTTCTGACTCCATCTTCACTGCTTTAAGGGGGATCACCTCCCACTTGCCAGCATGCAAAGAACCATGTCATTTAATTTAATCCTCACAATCACTCTAGAAGGCAGGACTCGCTTATCAGCTTCTCATTTACAGATACAGAAAGAGACTCAGAAAGGCTAGCTTGCTAAGGTCACCTGGCTAGTAAGGGACAGAGATATGACTTGAACCTAGGTCTCCTTCCCCACCCCTGCACAGGGAGAACATCCTGGTGCTGGACATTTTCTTTGAAGTCCTCAACTATGAGACCATCGAGCAGAAGAAGGCCTATGAGATTGCAGGGCTCTTGGGTGAGCTTCTGATGGCAGCTGTCCTCTCTCATGTCTTGGGCATGGCATGGCTCCCCCCCTACCCAATGCTGGGTGCTCAGTCTGTCCCAACCCTGAGCCCTTTCGCTGAGCCCTCTTGTGAGGAAGGGGGCTGGGCCTTCTCTTAGGACAAAGTGGAAAGACAGGTAGGTGGACAGGAGAGATGTGTTGGGGGATGGAGGTGGACACTGTTTCACATGCCCTTGAAATTGGCCAGATACTAAGTGAGTAGTGTATTTTGTAAAGAAGCCTTTTCTTAAATAATAGCTATTCGGTTTGGAAAAGTAGGAACATTTTTAAAAAGCAAGAGAAGAAAATAAAAATCCTGCCAGAATCTGGCTTTTCAGTCCTTCTGGATGAAGGCATCCTGCCCCAGGTCCATGGAACTCCCACGTCTCCCATGGTGTCCTGAGCCCTCTAACCTCCCTGACCGGACCCTGCAGGTGACATCGGGGGCCAGATGGGGTTATTCATCGGTGCCAGCATCCTTACCGTGTTGGAACTCTTTGACTACGCCTACGAGGTAAGGGGGCGGGGTTTGGAGGGCGTGGCCACAAGGGGCGGGGTCCAGTCCGCCCATATCGCCCCGCCCCCTCCTAGGTCATCAAGCACAGACTGTGCCGAAGAGGGAAGTGCCAGAAGGAGAACAAGAGGAGCAGTGCGGACAAGGGCGTGGCGCTCAGTTTGGATGACGTCAAAAGACACGTGAGAGAGCGAGGCAGGGGATGCCCTCCGGCCCGCCCCTCCCCCTAAAGCCCTAGCACGGCCGCGGCCCTTTCGGTAACCAGTGCTTCTCTTTCCTAGAACCCCTGCGAAAGCCTCCGGGGCCATCCTGCCGGGATGACATACGCTGCCAACATCCTACCTCATCATCCGGCTCGAGGCACGTTTGAGGACTTTACCTGCTAAGCCCCGAAGGCCACTGTACCAAAGGCCTAGGTGGGGAGGGCTAGGAGAGCAAGGGGCCCCCAACTGCCCCCTCGTCTGCCCTGGGGACTCAACTGCACTCCTAGGCAGTCCTTCCCTTTTGTCTGTGATGAGGAAGGAGTTTTGACAATGAGTCCTCTCCCTGCCTCTAGCCCATCTTTTTATTTTAACACAATTAAACGAATCTAAAAAAAGAAAAGGAGAGAAGGGCACAGGACTTCAGGCTGCCCCTCTCTGCTCCAAGCTGCCTCCCCTAGCTCCCAGCCTGAATTCTGTCTGTCTGGCTGTCTGTCATCTGAGTGTCCGCCTACATTCTGCTGCCACCAGTCACCAAAGTGAGGGGTGGAGGGGAATCCCTGGGGCTGAAATTTGGCCCCAAACCATAGAATGTACCTTAAGGGAGAGGGCTAGTGAGGGGGCTTCCCCAGCCTTAAGAGACTCTCTTAGTCCAGTGACTCCCCCAAAGCCCAAGTCTCCAGGTAGGAACTAAATCCCCATTTCCACTCTCTCAATGGTATGGAATCTCTAGGGGGTGGAGGATCTCCTGAAGAAGTAGAGATGGGGACTGGATGTGACCCTGGTGCTGTAGGCCACATCTCACTATCTACAAGTCACCTCCACCCCAAACTACTGGAGAGAAATCCCAAAAGGCAGCCCTCTTCTACATCCCATAAAAGACCTGGCAGGTTAGCTTCCAGCTCAGGGAGAGGGGCACTGGTGCCTGACCTCACTGGCTTCTCTCCCAGAGGCCTTTGCAGAGGGCCACATCCATAAATTTTCTTATGGAACTCTCCCAAGTCCTCTTCCCCGACTTCATCTGCTTCTTTCAACAACCTCATCTGCATTTTCTATTTCTATATGATACAGACTCTATATTGCTATATCTCTGTATATACTTTCCTCTAACCCTGTCTGTCTCCACCCCATTCCCTTGTCTCTGAGAATCATCCTCCCACCCCAAGTTTTCCCTTCTGTTTCTCCCCATCCCCCATCTCTGAATGCCTTCGCCTGTATAAAGAGTTGGACTCTCCCCTGGTGTCTGTACTGTGTACACACATCCCTCTGAGAAGCACAAGGAGACGACACGCGCATTGTAACCTTCGCACTGTCTCGGTGGCGACATAAAGGAAGCTGTGAATCACAAGCTCTGCCTCTTTCTGGCCTCCCCTCTACACCCTACAACCTGGGCACCCTCTGCCCCTCCCCCTGCAGCCTTAACAGTCCCTCCCGCCTGCTCCACCTATCCCAACGCCCTTTGCCTGGCTGACAGTGGCTTCCCCAGGGAAGGGGTTGCTGCAGAGGTAGTGCCCATCCAATGGAGGAAGCTATGCTGGACACTAAGCCAAGAGTGTTAGAGACAAAAGGGAGCTAGGGATTGGTGACTCTTCAAGCTGGGGCAGTGGATGCCCACAGGCAGAAACTGAAGTCCTCAGTCAGTGGCCTTTCTCTCCTTCCAGATACCCAAGCCCACCACTTCTATTTTCTGGTGAGGCAGGGTTTGGTCATGAGAGGAAAGAGGTAGGCCTAGAGGGGGAGTTGAAAGCTCTACTGTTCTGTCTGTCTCTATCTTAATAGAAGACAAGTTGAGGTAGAGGCTTCCATACCCCCACCAGGCACTCCTCCCAGGCCAGAGCCCCAACCCTTTTCCAGGCTTTCTCTGCCCCACTGTCTCTTGGTCTCTAATCCCAGAATAGGACCTGTGGGCAGATCACCTGTGTGTTGGCCTGGAGCCAAAGTGAGGCTATAGGATCTTTGAGAACTTAGTTCCTGAGAGCTCCTTAGAGATAGACTTCCTTAGAAGGAAACAGGAGCAAGGCCAGGAAGTGTGTGCTGGCTGGGGGACAGCAGACAGGGCTCTGGGCAACGCATGCCTCTGGTCTAATAAACTGGGTTTCAACCATCTCTTCTTCAGTGTTGTTCTTTTTAGTTGGAGGGTTTATAGGTGTTACCATTAGAACAGAGCTTGGCTTGAGAGCCACACAATTAGAGGAGTAAGAAAAGTTGAGAATAACCTGGTGTAGTGGCGCATGCTTGTGATCCCAACACTTGGGAGATGGAGGCAGGAGGAGCAGGAGTTCACTGCTCTCCTCCATTACATGGCAAGTCTGAGGCTAGGCTGGCCTACATGAGACCGTATCTATCCGAGCAGGCAGACACTGATCCTCCTAGAAAAGGTCAAACTCACCATCACACTAGGAATGGTTTGAATCACTGGGCAATGGAGAACGAAGGAATCAAAGGCAACGATGTTCCCAAAGAGAAGTCCCAAAACAGAACTTTTTGGAGAGGGGATACAAGGTCAAAATTCATTAAAGCAGGATAAAGGTCAGCGATGAAGTAAGGATGAAGGGCCCTGTGTGAAGGAGGTTTTGAGCCATTATCTGTGAAATGAGCCCTGGGCTCCTAGCCAGGTGTGCTGGATAGCTTTAGTGTCAACTTGACAACACCTGGGTTGAGGGAGCCTCAGTCGGGAATTGCCTCTATTGGACTGGCCTGTGGCCATGTGTGAGGGGCATCTTCTTGATGAGTGATGTGGGGGGGCCCAGCCCACTGTGGGTGGTGCCACCCCTGGGCAGGTGGGCCTGTGTTGCATAAGAAAGCAGGGTGAGCAGGGGCCAGGGGAGCAAGCCAGTAAGCAGCGTTCCTCCATGGCCTGTGCTCCAGATCCTGACTCCAGGTTCCTGCCCTGAGTTCCTACCTTGGGCTCCCTGATGAACTGCGACCTGGGAGATGTCAGCTGAATAAACCCTTTCCTCCCCAAGTTGGTATTGGTCAAAGTGTTTTGTCACAGCAATGAGGAAACAAACCAGAACACCAGGAGACTGGAATCCAAGACAGCTTTACTTCTAGCTTACTGGTTTGTCTTTGCCAACCTCTGAGTTCAGCTTTCCGTTTGTAAAATAGAAAAGTACACTCTCGTCTTTAGTCATCCAGATTGAAAGCTAGAGAATGAAAAGCAAAGCGATCACAGTGCTTTGGAAGGTAGATGCACTGTGTCAAGATGAAGCCCTCAGAGCAGCCCAGCCGTAGTCTGGAGTCAGGGTTGGGCTGGGACAGAGCTGTGGTCCCCTTCCAGGGCCTTGTCGTCCTCCGACAGCCTGGGGGCGCCCGCTCCCGGGGCCACCCTGTCCCGGAGCTCCCCTCTGTGGTACTTCTTCCCAAACCGCGAAGGCAGGAGGGAGTGGTCAGACTTTTTCCGCTAGTCGCCCCCTCTAGCCCATAGTCTCGCTGCCCCGAGCCTCCCGTACCCGCCCGCGGGCCGGGGCCACAAACAGGCCAGGCGCTCGGGGGGCGCGCGGGGGGCGGGGGAGTTCCGGTTCCGGTTCTTTGTGCAGCTGCAGCTGCAGCTCCGGGAAGATGGCGGCCCGGGCGGGTTTCCAGTCTGTGGCTCCAAGCGGTGGTGCCGGAGCCTCAGGAGGGGCGGGCGTGGCGGCTGCTCTGGGCCCGGGCGGAACTCCCGGGCCTCCGGTGCGAATGGGCCCAGCGCCGGGTCAAGGACTATACCGCTCCCCGATGCCCGGGGCAGCCTATCCGGTGAGTGGGGCAGGAGGAGGGGCGCGCGGGCCGGGGGCGGGGCCGAGCGGGGGCCCTGGAGTGACAAGGGTGGGGGTGAAGTGGGAGGGACTCCCCTGGGAGGGGTTCGGGCTCTGGGTGGAGGTAGGGGACGCTGTTGGAAGGGGGGGGCGGCGTTTAGCATCCCCACTTGCTCCCCGCCGCATTGTTTCCTTGAAGAGTGTGGAAGCAGGCTGGGTGAAGTGGGGCCTGGAATGGGCTTGGAAGGAAGAGGGGCATGTGCACCCCAGTGCCCAGAGGAACACCCAAGTTGTAGCTGCAAATTGAGGTCAGCTTCAAAGGAGATAGTAGCTAGTAAAGAGGGCTAGAGATGTCTGATGAATCAGATCCAACATAGACTGGGGCAAATTTGTATAACCTGGCTGTGTCTTAGCTTTTGGGCCCTGTATGTCAATGGAATCACCATTAGATCTGAGGAAGGTCCAGTTATCTATATTAGGGAGGGGCAGAGGGTTCCCCTCTCATTGTCCTCTACCCCAGCCCCCAACCTTGTTCCATTCTGAGAACTCAGGCTTCCTCCACTTTTCCTTCCTTTTGGGGACTAGGAAGGAAAACCATGACATCTCTGGGTCCTCTCCCTTCTGTAGAGACCAGGTATGCTGCCAGGCAGCCGAATGACACCTCAGGGACCTTCCATGGGACCTCCTGGCTATGGGGGGAACCCGTCAGTCCGACCTGGCCTGGCCCAGTCAGGGATGGACCAGTCCCGCAAGAGACCTGCGCCTCAGCAGATCCAGCAGGTCCAGCAGCAGGCAGTCCAAAATCGAAACCACAAGTAAGATGACCCCTGGGGTGGAGGAAAGAAGGGAGAGGGAGGAGGCCTGTGAGGACACAGGTGGTAGGAATGCCTGAACCAGGGAGTGGTGGTGCTATGTCAGCAAACAGTCCTACAGGGACTCACCCTTAAGAATGCCTTCTGGTGGTGGTGGAGATGGAGTTGTTGATGGTAATGAGGAGGGAGGTTCTTTGATTGGTGAGTTTTTCAGGTCTTACTATATAAATGGAGGTGCTGACAGCTTATCTTCATGTTCTGACTAGTTCTGTCCCAACCTGATAATAGTATTTATTCTGAACAGTGCAAAGAAAAAGAAGATGGCTGACAAAATTCTACCTCAAAGGGTGAGTCCAGGCTGTAGGTCTTCTTGAAGGTATGATGACTTTGAAAATAGAGATGGTCAGCTCTAGATCCCAATTATCTTTCTGTTCTCAAGATTCGTGAACTAGTACCAGAATCACAAGCCTATATGGATCTTTTGGCTTTTGAAAGGAAACTGGACCAGACTATCATGAGGAAACGGCTAGATATCCAGGAGGCCTTGAAACGTCCCATCAAGGTAACACAGGAAAGTAGTAGGCAGAGAGCCAAGGGAGAGGATGAGGGAAACTATACCAGGCTTAGGATGAGAAATCAAAGGCAAAGCACACTCCTTGGCATTTAAATTGCATCTTTCCCTTCCGGCTACAAACCAAGAATTACATTATGAGCATAAGAACAGAACAGCTGCACACCTTTAGTCCCAGCACTTGGGAGGCAGACGCAGGCAGATCTCTGTGAGTTCAAGGACAGCCTGGTTGGTCTACATAGTGAGTTCTAGGACAGTTGGGGCTACAGGGAGACCCTGTCTCAAAAAGACCAAAAAAACCCAGAACAGCTGGCAGGAGAGGTGGAGGAGTTTTTGAGGTCTCTGTACCAGGAACATGCTCTATCCATGTTTTTGCTGTAACCGCTCTGCTACCTTGGGAGCCTGGCACTTTGCCATCTATGCACTTGTACTCAGGCTAGAGGCCTGTACACTTCTAAATGGAGGCTTCATCCACCCCCCTATAGTAAGCCATTCTGTTAGGGGTAATTTGGGGGTTTGGGGAGACCCTTGTCTTCAGCATCAAACCACTGAGCCTCACCATCAATCCTGTTTCTGCCTTCCTCAGCAAAAACGGAAGCTGCGAATTTTCATTTCTAACACTTTCAATCCGGCTAAGTCAGATGCTGAGGATGGGGAAGGGACGGTGGCTTCCTGGGAGCTTCGGGTAGAAGGACGGCTTCTGGAGGATGTGAGTTCAAGGTCCACTGTGTTTGGTGTTTAGGGTGGGAGCTGTTGGAATGAATAGTGTTTTCTGGTCTGCAGGAAACCTGACTGGGGCTCACAGCTCCTGCTGGGAGCTTCACGGGGAGGGACACTCTGTTCCCTGCACACAAAGACAATGGTCCTTTGTATCTACTCCCTCAAGTTCAGTGTTATTAAATCGAAAACCTTATTGTCCTGGGATCTGATTTGTTTATTCTGGTGATCCTGGTCTTTGAATTTAGCAGCATCTGCAAATGATTTCAGTAGTGTTCTCCCCCCCACTCTCTAGTTTGTGCTTAGCATTTGAGGCCATGTTTCCTCTCTTTAAGTGCTTCAGGTTCTTGATTCCCATGTGACATTTCCATCTTCCCACCTTTCATCAGACAGACACTACAGTTTGAGTATGATAGATTTCTCCAACAGCTCTGCTTTTTGTTGCTTCACGGGGAGTAGCAACAGACTGGTGATAGTCCCCAAACTTCCCACCCAGCAGCTCCTTGGGAGGCTTACTTTTCTCTTATTCCCTTGTACTCTGGCACTGTTTTTGGCTGTGTGCAGGTATGCTAATTTGGATGCGTTTTACAGAAGAACCAGGACTCAGTGTCAGAGCTCCTCCTCTTCATAGGTCCAGTCCATCTGCCAGTCTGTCCAGATAAAGCTGTTTTGTTCTGGCTGCTTACTGCCTGTGATTCATTTCCCCTCTGCAGTCAGGCTTTTCTCTGTTCAAATGTGCTTTGTTATGTTAAGGGTTTGGCTTAACTTGCCTCATTTCCCTAGGGTAAGTCAGTGGCCCTGTCCTGTCACAGGCTGCTTTCTCAGGGTTCTGATGCTACCCTGATCAGTTTAATAGCCTGATACCTACCTTGTCATGTTCAGAAGACACTTGAGTTTTTTTCTTGTTGCTGTTATGAATTCCTTTTTTTTTTTTTTTCTGAGACAGGGTCTCTCTGTTGCCCTAGCTGTCCTGGAACTCACTGTGTAGACCAGGCTGGCCTTGAACTCACAGAGGTCTGCGTGCCTCTGCCTCCCAAGTGCTAGGATTAAAGGTGTGCACCACCACACCCAGCTTGAATTCCTTTTTAAAAGAACTTTGTCTTGGGGTGTTCTTTCTGGCCATTTCTAACATGACCTTCCCTCTTTCTCTTTTTCTTTCTTTCTCCTAGTCAGCCTTGTCCAAATATGATGCCACCAAACAAAAGAGGAAGTTCTCTTCCTTTTTTAAGTCCTTGGTGATCGAATTGGACAAAGACCTCTATGGGCCAGATAACCATCTGGTAGAAGTGAGTAGTTCTGTCTTCTAGGTTTTGACCTTGTGACTGGAGGGTGATGTACTTGGGAACCAAACTTGAACATCTGGGTAAAGAGGGAGGAATAAAGGGTTAGCCCAGGTGTGCTGTTTCACCTTTGCAGTTTGCACACTGACCTCTAGGTGGTGCTAGCAGTGTTTGGTTTGGATCCAAGAGGTCATACAATCTGGCTCTTCCCACCCATTACTATCCTGATCACTGCCCCACTTTCAAAGAAAATGATAATGAAGGTCTCTTATACATGCCAGGCTATCTTCCATCTTGCTTATAAATATTGGTGAGTAGTTACTGCCAAATCACTCTTCCTGATAGCAGCTGCCACAGGGGTTGACTAAAAGCACTAGTACTTGTCTATTTGTGTTAATCTGGGTCTTCATTTTGGTCCCTTTTTTCCTAGATTCATATTCCAGATCACTAGCGATCCTTTATTGTGATGTCTGGTTATATAGTGTTTTGAGGACTGTATTAGCAACAATATTCTTTGGGACACAGACCCAGAATAATAGTCCAGTGTCCCATGTGAACTTAACTTGCTCCTTTCTTTGCCAGTGTAGCTGCAGCCCCCTAATCTCAACCACTAAGAGACATGGAAAGGGCTTTACCATCTAATAAGGGAAGTAAGTCATAGAATCAATAGAAATCTGTAAATATACTTAATTTTCTAGCAGTGGCTAAGAACGTGGACACACCAGAGCTCCAGTTTCAGTTCCGTCATGTTTTGGCTATTTAACCTGGATAGGTTTCTTCATTCTTCTCAGCACTAGTTTTCTCACCTGTAAGATAGGTTTACCATACCTGTCTTCAATGGATGTTTGGAAATTAAATGATAATCCAGGTAAATGTCATGGAATACGCATATATAGTAAACACTCAGTTAATTGAAGCAACATTATGTCTCTATTGCCATGTATATTATCTATTTTGTGGGTAAACTTTTCACTGGAAATTCAGGCCAGTTTCAGTGTGGATTATTGTGGTCAGAACTGAAAGGTTCTGCTTATACACAAACAGTAATCCCAAAGCAGTGTACAGTTTTAGAGATGTCTCATGCTGTTGCTCTTCTCCAGTAACCTCAGTAATCAGAGTTGAGTGTCCAGTCATTACAGAGGCTCTTCCTCTGGAAGAGTCCCCCTGACATCTTCCTCTCTGTAGTGGCACAGGACCGCCACTACCCAGGAGACCGATGGCTTCCAGGTGAAGCGGCCAGGAGATGTGAATGTACGGTGTACTGTCCTACTGATGCTGGATTACCAGGTATTCCTTGGAGGTGTGAAGGGGTCCAGCTTTCACAGCCACATTCCAAAAGCATTCTGGCTTGGAAGGGTCTGAATATATGTTTGTGAATAATTTGCCACTTTAGTACATCTGAGTTCTTCCTCTAAGTTTCCTGCGCCACAGAAATCAGTAATGTTAAACTGGATATGTTGCCATACTAAGCACCCCAAAGTAAGTGCACACGGACCCAGCTTATTAGCTTCATCCCCTATACTATTTGTTCTCTGCAGCCCCCCCAGTTTAAATTAGACCCTCGCCTGGCTCGTCTCTTGGGCATCCATACCCAGACGCGTCCAGTGATCATCCAAGCACTGTGGCAATATATTAAAACACATAAGCTCCAGGACCCTCATGAGCGAGAGTTTGTCATCTGTGACAAGTACCTCCAACAGGTATGTAAAAGGCACGTTCTGTTGCTAGAATCCGTAAGAATACTAGCTTCAGTCAAAACGCCAGTTTGTAGCTGCCTCTCTCTTCTCACAGATCTTTGAATCTCAACGGATGAAGTTCTCAGAGATTCCTCAGCGGCTCCATGCCTTGCTTATGCCACCAGAACCCATTATCATTAATCATGTCATCAGGTAAGCCTGTGTATGGGGGGCTGGTATGCTTAGTTAGAGTTTGTTTGAACCAGCTTGTACCAGTTGTCAGACCTTCAGGGATTTGCAAACAGGCTGTTAGACACAGCTGTTATTTAAATTACACAAGCTCATGATTACACAAGCTCATGATTATTACATTAAAAGTGAGAGTAATGTGAACTCCACTTACTGCTTACCAGTTATCTTGTTAATTTTAGTAGTGTTTGTAGCTTTGGGGTCACTGATGTCTGCATGATAGGAATGCTGCTGCATCATGACATGACATGTCATTGAACACCCTTCCCAACCCCCTGATCAGTGCTAGAACGTTAGTGGCTAGAAATCGGCAAGCACTGTCATATCAGGGCTCCCCTGCCCCTCGGAGACTTAGTTATTAAGACTTCCCAGATGTCAGAGGGGTCAGCAGCCCTCTTTTCTCAGGATGACAGGGCTTCCAGTCAGACTCTGTTGCTTTCCTTTTTGGTTTGGAAGGTAGAGAACCAGGTATCTAGTTTGTTCTTTTTGAAGCAGCATGCCCCTGTTGTTAAATATGAGCTTTTTTTTTTTTGGTCTTTTTGAGACAGGGTCTCCCTGTAGCCCCAGCTGGCCTGGATTTGCTATGTAGACCAGGCTGGCCTTGAACTCAGAGATCCGCCTGCCTCTGCCTCCTGAGTGCTGGGATTAAAGGCATGCGCCACCACGCCTGGCTGAATATCAGCTTTTTGCTTACTTCCTTTGTTCCATGTTATTGTAAAGGCCTGCATTTCCTTAGGTCCTGAATCCATCACCCTGTAGTAACTCCTACAACCTATACATTGAGTCTACAAAGGCTGGATTCCAGTACTTAGAATTAGGCAATTTTTTTTTTTTTTTTTTTAGTTTTTTATTTATTTTTTTAGTCTTTTTTGAGACAGGGTCTCCCTGTAGCCCCAGCTGTCCTGGAACTCACTATATAGACCAGGCTGGCCTTGAACTCACAGAGATCCACCTGCCTCTGTGGGATTCAAACCTGGGTTAAAGGCGTGCGCCACCACGCCTGGCCAACTTTATTATATTTTTTTTTTATGTGTATGCGTGTATTCTCTACACGTAGGTAAGTGCACCCGTGCCGTGCAATGCCCACAGAGGTCAGAAGAGGCTGTTGGATCCCCTGGGACTGGAGTTACTTATTATATTTTTTTTTTTATGTGTATGCGTGTATTCTCTACACGTAGGTAAGTGCACCCATGTTGTGCAATGCTCACGGAGGTCAGAAGATCTCCTGGAACTGGAGTTATGGACAGTTGTTAGCTGCCATGTGGGTGCTGGGATTCAAACCTGGGTCTTCTGCAAAAACAGTCAGTGTTCTTAACTGCTGAGCCATCTCTCCAGCCCCAGAATTAGGCAACTTTTAAAAAAATATATTTATTTTATGTGTGTGTATTGCCTGCATGTATGTAAGTGCACCTCTGCCATGCAGTGCCTACAGAGGACAGAAGAGGCCGTTGGATCTCCTGGAACTAGAGCTGTTAGCTGCCATGTGGGTTCTGGGATTTGAACCCTGGTCTTCTGCAAGAATATTCAGTGCTCCTAACCAATGAGCCATCTCTCCAGCCCTGAGTTAGGCAGCTTTTAATTTTTATTTATTTATTT